CAATAGGCTTGTGCTCGTGGAATATCCTAATGCGGTTTCGCGGTGTAGTTTGATGCGACACCGAGACTCCTTATCTCGCGCGTGTTTTGTCCCCAATACCGCACCAGTACAAGTAGTCCAGCTATCTCCGGCTACCAGCAGCGAGCGCATCCGATTTCTCACTTCTAAACTACTTACTGGAGTACCAGAGTGCTCCATATTCGTGGGCAAATGATCAGGAATCGTTGTCCGTGGTGTCGACTCGCCAACATCGCTATGCGGCAATGGGAAATATTCCCCGCACTCGAGCAGAATGGATCCGTAGAATGCATTGTCACGACCTTTGATAAGTGCCCTCTGAAAAATCAACCACACATCACACCCTCGCCTCCCCCGTTAAAAGTCGGGTAGTGGAGTGTGCTCGTGATTCGGGTTCAGTTGAGCGGCTAGATTTAGTATGATATATAGCATATCACGGTGGTGACACCGCCGCGAGAGTCCAGGGTTTTAGTACTGCGGAATTGATGGTTGGAGATTGGAGAGATGTGCCATAGTGGGAATGAAGGGCAATCAATGGGCCATCGTCCGCCCGACTCTGGGGCTCTCCCAACCTCTCCGGGAACGGGGTTTACTAACCAAGCATTAAGTCCTCCAGCCAATCATACATTGTTCGAGTTACACACAAATAATTCGCACCAACCCGACAAGAGTTGGTCAAATTTTCTGTATTTCGCATCCCAAGTAACTTTACAGCACGCGGAGGGCACCCACAGAACTGCCGATGAGGGGCAAGATTGGGGCGTGCATCTTCTGCACTCCAGTACTGTACCCGTACTCGAGTACCGGTACTGTACTCGAGCACGGTCTTGTGCACCGCCAAAATTTGGCCCGTTTAGTGGTCGTGTTTGCTAGTGGATGCTTGATCAGTGCAGCTGGGATAAATATATCATATCAAACCCTTTTGTCTGAACCTAGGTGGTATGCAACAACAATTCTTAAAAACTACGAGTGCCCGAACAAAGTGGATGCTGTTTCCCTTCCCCTATTCCTCCTCTTTCTTTGCTGCACAGCGAGCTTGGCGAGCTAATTGGCTACTTCGATGCTAGGGCGGTGGCATGGCGGTCTCGATGTCCTTGTATCACAGCATATCTGCAATGCAGGGAAGAATTGATTAGGTCTTGACCCCCAACGAAGGAAATATCATACTGCCCGACTTTGTGCGGGTCCCGTATTTACTAGAGTATCCTACCGCCCTATGCTCACATTCGCCTGTCCAAGTCAATCACAATACTCGAATACCCTAGCGATAGCATGCGGTCTGGATGAGAGTGGGTTACGGTTTCCAGCGATGCTCGCGGAAACAATAGGTGTGCGAAGAGAGAGAGAGAGAGGCAAGCGGAATTGCTAGCAGTGGAGGCGTGTGAATTGATCTTAAAATGGGAATGATGAATGATGAATTGGTATCGGTGCAACACGCGCTTGCGACGTTCGCAAACATGATTGCTCTCATACCACCAAAACCCCGAGGCTCCCGCCGATTGTTTTTGCACATACACAATAAAACTAACGAATTAAGACGCACGCCCATTTGGATACTTTGCTTGTCACTACGAGTAATTCTTCGGCACCGAACCTTTCTTCCCAGTATTGTCAACTTCTCGGGTTTGTGTGTGCCGAGCTCTGGCCGAATTGGGGGGTGAGGATCAGGTTGCTCGTGTTGCCGAAAATTAAGCCTGGCGATACCCCGGGCGTGAGGCATGATACCACCGCCCACCCGGGTCCTAATCGCATGCCCGACCGGTGCGAGAAATTTCCCGGGAACCGGGAGGAGGTAGTACCTGGAGTGTTTCAAATGTTTTGCCTGAAGTGGTGGGAGAGATAGGTTGAGAGGGTAGTCGAGATTGCTAGCGAGGATAGATTGAAGCTGGGATACCGGTATGGGACGGGTTGGTGTAGCTGGCTGGGGTGGTACGGCGCCGAATTGAAACAGAAACCGTCCATATGCTTGGATCCCAGATATCATATCGGAAAGCAAAACCACGAGGATGAGTATCAGCTGGATGGTTCTTCGGTCCTCATAAAGTGCAGGAAGATAAGAATAGGGCGGTATGGAAAGGCCGAGGAAAAACAGGGGGGGAAAGGATCAGGCATTATCAACATTCCATACCTCTGTTCTTCTCCATCTAGACTACTACCTCCTCATCACAAAGGCTATCTTCTCCATTTTCTTCTCTTAGCCGCGCGAGTATTAGGACCAGGGTGTCAATATCTCCTGACTTTTTTAAAGCCCAATTGTATGCCACTTCCGGGTGTTAACATCTAATATCTTTCACCCTAAGCTTGTCCTTTTTTTAAAATTTTAAAATTTTTTTACCCTTTCCTCCCCATCCATGTTTTGTTTTCGCCCGGTTTCTACATTTTTCCCGTTCAAATTACCTTCCTAACTTTTCCATCCCATCCAAAGCAACGCTACGCCATCCCTATACTCTTTTTTGTTTATGAAAAAGTTTTCCCTTCTTTTTGGACCCTACCGGTATCTAGTTTCTCCCGCTTTCTAATCCTAGTTTCCTAACGATGCCAACAATGACAAATTGGCCTTTTTGCTCATTTCTACAAAAGCGACTAAGCGGAGCTAAGACCATCAACAGGGCAAGTGGTTTCCCGGATATCAGACTCACGCGAGTGATAATCTATGAATCCAAGAGCGTTCTATAATCATACTGTAGAAATTTCCTAGAAAATTTAATTATAGTATCATAATATCAACAAACATGGGCGAACGATACCGGGGAAAAAAAAAAGAATCCCGAAACCACGGTTGCCGTAAAACCCACCCCGAGTATGATATATCAACAAAAGACCCTCCAGAATTGTCACCACACACCCTTTTACCACCCTCTGCACAATTCACAACGGAAAAGAATTCAGACTGAGCGAAGCTCGTAACAATCTATCGCTTTCCCGCGCCAGAAGCCTACCTAACCTTTCACTCGGTCAGGTCTTGAAACCCCACCACTATCGCGCAAACCGGGGAGAATATTTTTCCTTCGTTATTTTTATCATAATGTTATGAAACTTGGCATCCTGCTTAGAGCGTCCACACGCCAGGGAGCCCGTTGTGCCCTTTCTCCACCGTTCCGGGAAGGATAAAGGAGCGACGGGGTCCTCAAAAAGCTATATAGTACAGTGCCTGGTCAGAAGTGTTCGTGATCTGAGACATGTTTAATTGCGGTTGCGCTATGGGACAGTGGGGTGGGTTGACAACGGCGCTCGTGCTCACACATGTGCGAGTGTACGAGTTCTCCGAAAACCCACTGCTGCCTTGGATCCCTGGATTTCTCCACACTCCACTCATCTGTGTGCAGATGACTCTCTCAAAATTCTCAGCTGTCCAATTCCTAGGAGCTGTAGCCCATCTTAGTCTCTTAGCTATATGGACAGCTTTGAGCTTGGGTCTTGACTTGGCTAGCCATTTCTTGATATTGGCATCTCTGAGTACTCTATCCACTATAAATTTGTTAGAGAATCATGTTCTATCACTCAGGCTCAGATGGGTACCAACCAGTAGAAAGAGAAACACCTAGCGCATATTTATCCCTGAAATCTGATCTGGTCATTTTCTGGTTGGATTTGGCAGCCTGGATGATTGTGTGATGCTATTGCTGGCTGAGAACATGTGTGTGACAGGGATGAGGAATATTATCCAAGGATAGATGCTCACATGTATGAGTAAGGAAGCTTTTAATAGTTGACTATGGTTGGCCAATAATTTGAGCAACCAGAGCAATATTCTGGAGGTAGTGGAAAAATCTGATAATTCTGCCTTTTTCCACATTGGTCATTTCAGTTCGAGTGGTCTTTGGGTTTCGTTTTTTTGGCTTTGATTTATATCTAGATCAGTTAACTATTGGAAATTCAGAGGAAATTAAAATTAAAGAATTATTCGAATAGAGGATCACAGTATCATGTTGTAAATATTGTATGGGGCAGGTATCATATGGTCGTGCGATCACCAAGGTGGCATTTGGCGAGGTGGCATTTTTGGTGAGGATGCTTAGTAAGATGATCACAAACACTTCTGACGAGGCACTGTACAATTTCGGCATCATGTTTCGAGTTTCTGCCCTTTATTCCGTCAATTTTTGGGGCTCATTGATGGCCGGGTCAGGCACTATTAAGCGAGTGATTTCATGTGATCGATCCGGCCCGCTTATCCTTGAAAGTTTTTAAGTTGGGGCATTTCTTGAAAGGGGAGGAGTATAAAGGACGGGGTTCTATGTATCGCAGATATATGCAGGTGTCATATTATGGCGTGGGCTGAGAGCTATCATATCGTAAAATATGTGGATTGAACGTCTCCCCTCTCATCCTTTCATGACCAAACTTTCGCCATCACTTTACGCACTGAAGACCAATAATGTCGTGTAATCCATTAAATCCACATCCCCCCTCTTCACCACACTTACCGCACTCGCTGCCGCGGCAGGGTCTGAAGAGGAGAAATAAATAATTATGATACACGAATCAAAGGTTACTATCATAACTAGAGGAATAGCAATAGAAGCAATGGGCACCATAAAAAAAGGGAGAACACGTCCCGGACGTAATAATTTTGGTTTCTGGAAAGCAAGTGGACAAACATTGAACACAAGAGGAGAGGTAAAGAAATGGGATTGGTATAGAAGGAGATAATAAATACAGAAAGATAGATAGGAGAGAGACTATGCACGAGTCATGGAGTTGTGGTAGTGGTAGTTGGTTGTTGGAAAGAGAGAGTCCTGATCGGTTGGTATGGTAGTACGCAGACTTAAGGAAAAGAAGCGGGAGGGGAGGGCGGAGAAAGGGAGAAAAAAAACCAAACGCCGAAATCACAGATACACTGGATGAGGTAAGGATGTTACATATCGTAGAAGAAGGGAGAGAAGTAATAATCAGGAGGAATAAATAGAAACGACAAGGGAGAAGATAGAAGAAAAAGAAGAATAAGGGAAAGAAATGGTTTTTTTTTTTTAATTTTAAAAGAAGGGGGTAGGTATTACAAAAGCATACCCAACAAGAAATAGCCTTGACAGACGAGAAAAAAAACTGCAGAGATAGCAATACAAGAAATGACGCTCATAGTTCTCATTTGCATAAAGGCCGTTCGTTGCATAATGCGTTGGTATGTGGGCAAGTAGGTAGATAGGTAGGTTGTCGAGTTAATGATATCATCATCATTGCGATCATGCGAAAACGAATGAAGGAATACGAATGAATGAATGAATGAATAAATGAAAAAGAAAGGAAGGAGCGATAATAAGCAAGAATTTAAGTACGTGGGAATTAATATCTCCCGGCAGCTTCACCCTCCTCCCACTCCTCAGCCTCGTCCTCCTCGTTTCTCACCATGACTACTCCACCGCCACCACCAACGCGCTTGGAAGGATATCCAGCGTATCCCCTTCTATAATAGCCCCCGCCATTACCCCCACCAATGCTTCCCTCTTCTTCACTCTCATCACCGAAAGTCTGCCAGTTCTCATTGGAGCTAGCGCTAGTGGCGGTAGTCCCGGTGGAGCTTCCAGAAAACATACGCGTGCTTTCGGCGTCTCCATTTGACGACGAGGATTCATGATAACCCAAGCTCTTGACTGGAGGCTTCGGGTAACCATTCTGTCTGGGTGTCCCCTCGCAATAATCCCTCTGATCTTCGTTATCGTCACTACCCCCGAATTGGGATTCCGGGCTCACGCTGCGGACACTCATGACTGTACCTTCACGGGACATGGTCCGGCTTGTGCTGGAGGGGCGCTGGAGCTCGCGCCCACGCTCGCGTTCTCTCTCATGATCTTTTTCCCGTTGCTGGCGGAGGTAGGGCGGGAGTTGTGGTGGGCCCATGGTTTGGGAAGGGAGGAGTTGGCCCATTCTTGGGGCGGTTCCGAGTGTATTGCTTAGACCCGTACGCTCAAGTTGCTTGACGGACTGAGAGCGGACAAGTCTGGTTGTGGACTTATCGGACGAAGTGGCATCTGGGAATGATGACAGTGAGGCTGGTGCGCGGAGTCTGGTCGGGGTTCTGGAGCCGGAACTAGCATTGCTAGACGTGGTGGAAGTGCTGGAAGCGGTAGTGTGGGGGATCGGAAGACGTGCGCTCGTCGCAGGGGTCCTAACACTATTAGATCTGCTAAGTGATGCGGCCACGCTTCTCCCACCCGATCTACCGACCGATGCGGACACAAGCGTAGATCCTCCGGTAGGAGTCTTGGATCTCATGGGAGGACCACTGGGAGTCTTTGGCCGGGAGGGAGGTCTCGGCTGTCCAGATCCCGCGGTATTAGATCTGACGCGCTGAATGGAGCCCGTAGCTGGTGGATTCCATTTCCCTGCCTTGACAGTCGCCTGAGCTGGAGCGGGTCCTTTGCTCCCTGCTCTCGATTGAAGGACGGGGCTCTCGCGAATCAAAGTTTGCAAGTATGTGTCCCCGTTAACCAAGAATGGTTCACCGCACTCCTTTTCCCAATCCTCAAGAATCTTCTTCAATTCAACTTCCACCTTCGGAAGTTCCTTGGCGATCCGCTTTCGCATCTTTTCTTCGCGTAGAAGGCGGGTAGGGTCGCGATTGCCAGAACCGCCACGGGAAACAAGGCGAGATGAATCGCTCGCCGAAATTGCCAGTTGCTCGCGGTCGTTGACGAGAGAGCGGTGCTTGTCGATCAAGCTGATTATTGGAGCGCGTTCTTCTAACAGAAGCTGTAGGCGGCGGATTTCCATCTCATGAGAGGTAAGCAAAGCATCTGTATAGACATCTGCGCTCCAATTAGTTCTCGGTGAGATAAAACTTAGAGCCAGGCGACTTACTTGACATAGCTGGTTGGAAATGCATGATTTCATCGTCGGAGAAATAGAGTTTATCCCAGAGATCTTGCAAAACTTGTCGTGCATCTTCTACGAATAATTGCAGATTCTGGCGCTTTAGTTCCAACAACCTGTCGAGTTCGGCTTCAAGCTTTACCAGGCCAGATCGTCAATGAAGGTTAAAAAGAGAAACGATACAATTTTACGTACCTCGCGAATAACTTTAAGACCAATGCCTCTATTCTGTGCAAGGAATCTCTTCCCCTCAGAAGGTTCTTCACCTAGCTTTTCCCACAACTGCCCAATCTCCTGTTTGAGGTCCTCAATCTTCTCCTTGCGTTTTTCCTTTTCCTTGACAAGCCTCTCTTTCTTCCCTATGAGATCATTCAAGTTGTCCAGCTTCAATCCCAATTTCTCGGGATTAGTAGCTCCGAACTCAATTATCGTCTTATCAACGCCCGAACCTGTCGCACCAAGCTCAGCATAAAGATTTATTATATCTTTCGCCAGTGAGGTAACGTTGGCAAGGCGCTTGGTATACTCCTTGCGTAGACGGCTGCGCTCATTCTCAAGGCGCTCGTAGTAAGCGTGTGATAGGTCAAATGAGGCAATAGACGAGGAATCATTGGTCGCTGGTGGTAAGGGGACCTGGGTTATGCCCGACTCAAGGCGATCAGCGTATTCTTCAACTGAACGTGCCAATTCTGATACAACCCAATTAGCATGTAACGTCGGAGTAAGATTTAGGAGCTGGCTCACCTCTGATAGCATTGTATCTCTCTGCATGTCTTGCCTTGACATTCTCCTGCTTGCCCCGAAGCGCCTCTAAACATCTAAGTAATGGCGCAGTGATTTTCAATTCCTCTCTAGACTTTTTCGTCTTGTCGTCGAGCGATTTCTCCATCTGTTTTATCGATGAGATGACCTTATTACATTCTTCAACCAATGTATTCTTTTCACTTCGTACTAGTCAATAAAATGTAGACAAACGGAAGGAATTGGATCTTAGAACATACGCGATAACGGAGCGCATTTGGTCCTGTAGAGCTGTGTTTAATGCAGCAAATAGGCTCGCTTGCCGCCCCTCTCGATCATATCTGGTTAGACCGATCTCATCAAAAAGGCAATGCAGAGTTTCCTGCGCCTTTGATACTTCTTCCATTAAGGAAGATTGATGTTTAGTAGTCATTGCTGAGACGTTACTTTGTACTGAGACGTTACTTTGTACTGAGACGTTACTTTGTACTGGGTTTCAGCTGGTTGGTGGCGCGTCAAAGAGGAATGTATAGTTGGTAAGGAGGAAGAAAGTACGGTATTGTTGTCCGGTCTGGAATGTTTATACGGTAAAAGAGTGTGGTTGATTGAAACAGAGAACAGAGTTAGGAGCTACCCGTTCCGTTCTACTTTTGTCAAGTATCAAGAAAAAGGAATAAGCAGAAGTGGAATGAATCTCATAAAACGAGTATATAAGAGAAGGAGGAAGAGGTGGGAGAGAAGAGAAGGTTAATGGAGGGAGAGAAATTATGAGAGGCGGTGGAGGAAGGCTCTCTGCTAGGGGACCCTTGGGGATAAAGAGGGCGAGAGGTTTGTTGTTGTCTCTCGGACCTGTGTGACGTTATTGGTTGTCAAGGCAACACATCGTTTACAGTGCAGGGGACCTTTGTTTCAAGCAGGCTGCAGGCAGATCTTTTTAAGCCCCTCCCTCGGCTGATCAAGCTAGCCCTCGCAACCATCGTATCACCCCGCACCCACAACGCCTCTGTATTCTGAGGGTCTAAACCTAGGTCCGAGCTTCCAAGCCCCCCCCCCCATCAAACTACCGAGAACATTGCACAAGAATCCTCCATCATCCTCACCGCCTTCCCCTTTAACATTTTTCACCATGGAGTCTTCAGCCAGAAAGCAGTTTGGTAAGCTTGGAGAGCCCCCTTGATCCTTGAAACCACCATTCTCGTAATTTCGCTAATTATCCTCCTTATGTTTAGATTTTGAAAATAGCATCACTTTGGTTGATCCCACCAAAGATGGTATCTACGCTTACGATGACGCCGAGCAGAAGTGAGAATTTTCCCTGATGTTTAGTCTAGGTTATCGATAGCAAACATTTAATAATCGCATAGAACGCTGAGCGAGAAACGACCATGGAGAGACAACCCAAATTACTTTAAACGTGTTCGTATTTCCGCCGTTGCCCTGCTAAAGATGGTTATGCATGCTCGGTCGGGTGGTTCAATCGAAATTATGGGCCTTATGGTTTGTTCTCTGCTCCCTGTTCTCAGCCGTGCTCGCTAACGTCTAACAACTGCCAGCAAGGAAAAATAGCCCACGAGACCTTTATTGTGACCGATGCTTTCCCGTTGCCAGTGGAAGGTACGGAAACACGTGTAAATGCGCAGGAGCAAGCTTATGAATACATGGGAGCTTATGTGGACTCTCAAAAGGCCGAGAAACGCCCGGAGAACATCGTCGGCTGGTATCATTCTCATCCGGGGTATGGATGCTGGTTGTCTGGGATCGATGTCAACACCCAGATGAACCAACAAAAGTTCACCGATCCTTTCCTCGCAGTCGTCATTGATCCGGATAGAACTATATCCGCTGGGAAGGTGGATATTGGGGCTTTCAGAACCTATCCCGAGGGGCATAAAGGGAAGAGCGACGAGGAAGGAGAATACCAGACCATTCCTTTGGCGAAGATTGAGGATTTTGGAGCCCATACTAACCAGTATGCTTATCTCCTACCTCAAAATGAAATCAATATTGACAATGCACAGATATTACACTCTGGAGGTCTCCCACTTTAAATCCTCTCTCGATACTCACCTTCTCGATCTTCTGTGGAATAAATACTGGGTCTCGACACTATCGCAATCTCCACTGTTTACCAATCGCGATTACTCTACAAAGCAGATGGTCGATTTGTCTCAGAAGATTCATAAAACAGAGCACTCGCTACTTTCTGGGGTTGGTAAGAGCAACAGATCGTCGCTGCTCGCTCCCAGCGTAACTGGCAAGCCGCAAACTGAAGGCCAACTCGACAAGGTTGTCAAAGATAGTAACAAGATTGCCTCTGAAGAAATTACTGGCCTCTTCAGTAGTGTTGTGAAAGACCGGGTGTTTGGGGGGGTGGATGTTGTCACCTCGACTAGGAAACAGTCTTGAGAGTTTCTCTCACAGACGGGGTGTTGATTAATTTAGAGGCTTTGTTTCACTCTGTAATGTGGATGGGAGCGGCGTTCCTGGGTCTGCGTTTTATATTCTCTATGGCCCTCAAATTGGGCTTGTCAGACATTCACCCGCCAGGCTAATATTGCCGGGCAACAAATTTGGGAGGGTGTGATTTTGTGTGGTACCTCAATTTGATATATCGCTATTCTACATGAGACGGTTGGCATTAAGGGATGTAGTTTGGTATACAACAGAGGTCAAACGGCCGAATATTTGTAGTCCATAGAACGCTTTGTTTCTAACATGCCGGTTTTCCTGTTCCATGAACCCATACCTGCGTTCCTGTCAGTTTTAAAGGTATAAAAAGTGGGGAAAGGGTACCTGCATAGCTGCCTAAAATCAATATTGTCAAGCATAGGCCGACCACAATACTGGCACCGGCATAAACGTAGCCATGACTGACTGCTGCCTTGTTAGCGCCCTGTTCCCCTCACATATCCTCCCTCGGAAACCTACTCCTCAAGCCTCGAACCTCCACCACGAAGGTAGACACCGTAGTCAAGCACCCACAAAAACCATCGCCCAACCCCCTCAATACATCGCAAGTATTCCCTCCAAAGTGCGCGTGCCTTCCAGCCAACAATCCAGCCAGCATGGCCGTGCCCAACATATTCACCATGAATGTGCCCGGGGGAAACGCTTTGCGCAGTGGATTCCCCAACCGAGACGCCCAAAACCTCATGATGGCCCCCGGCGGTGAGAATACACAAGCAAACAGTACATCCCCCCTCCACCTCCTGATAAATACTGCCATAATCACCGACGCCACCCACAACCCGAACCCAATCGGCGCAGCCAGCACATCCATCCAACGAAAGTGCAGCTCCCTCGAAAAACCCTTGGAAAAAACAGCTAAATGGGTCCCAACCTGTAGCCCGCCCAATGATATCGCGATGGTGCCAATGACGTAAGCTAGCATAGCCGCTATGTTGTCTCCTATTCTCCGACTGGGATGGATAGGCGCGGCAATAGCGAGCTGCTCGAACGCGCCTATGATGAATGACGAGAAAGTCGTCACGGAGCCGCAGTAGCCGGTTGTTAAGCCGAGATATAGCGATGTTGTTGATTTTGTAGACGCGGGGAAGAGTGTCTTATCTTCGAGGAAGAAGCCCATTATTAGGCTTCCGGCGAATTGTGGCCAGAAGAGGGGCGGTAGAGGGGTCGCCTCGTAGGTTGTTATGGAGACCAGGGCGATGCGGGAAAGGGTCCCCAGTATGGAGAAGATGATCAGGTAGCTATGTAGTTGGACAAAGTGAGATAATTGAGGAGGAGCGGGCTTTTGAAGTGTACTGACAGGAGGAGGGACGAGATGGGATGGGAGGTCTTCAATGCGCGCTGAGAGTTGGCGCTCCAGTTGTGGTGGATCGATGGTTTCTGTCTGACCGGCAGTAGCCGGGTGTGGGTTCGACATTGCATTGGTGGATGGAGAAGTCTACTGGTGGGCTCAGGGGGTGGCCTCAGTCGGTTGTCTGCTGGTGAAGAGACTGGAAGTGCTGGTATCATAGGATTATTAGTATGAGGTTAAGTTAAGCGGACTTCTATCACTTCGCGTGTGACAGGGAAGCTGCACTTTTACCGTGGTGCATGGAGATTGTAGAGATCGGCCCTTTGATCCTTATCTCTACAGTACGTCGTATCAAGATGCTCTAAGCGGTGTTGCAATTTACTGGTCCTCCTTGTTGCCTTTTCATTGCGGGTATAGTGCCGGTGCCTTTCATCCATCTCTTCCCTCTGTCTGCACTCTCTCTGTTGATGTCCCTACCCTTCCGTTCAACCTCTTCCCTCATCTTCTAAAACTCCCTGACACCTTCCCTCAATTTCCCCCCACCTACCAACTACCCCACGCCATTATTTATTCCCTCTATTCCGTCGCTTTTTAACTTTATCCTTTAGTCAACTAATTCATCATGCCCTCCCTTCCCGCGAACGTTGCTGTTTCCTCCCACCCTTGCTTTATTTCGAAGCTCAGTCGTCTCCGTTCCGCCTCTACACCCCCGAAAGAGACTAAGGCGCTTGTTCACGAGCTGTCCCTGATTCTTGCGACTGAAGCTCTTGCGCGCGCCCTTACAGCTGAGAAGACTGGTGAGAAGGATGTTACCCCTCTCGGTGTTGCATTCGATGTTGAGAAGGTTACCAAGAGCATCGCTCTCGTTCCTATTCTTCGTAGTGGTCTCGGAATGCTAGAAGGTAGTTTTCTTCCCTCCCTCTCTCCTATGCATATCCCTCTGTTCTGACAATCGTCCCTTTTCGTTAGCTTTTCAAACCCTTCTCCCGGAACCAACTCCCGTTCACCATCTCGGCCTTTTTAGAGAGAAGGTCACTCTGCAGCCCGTGGAGTACTACAATAATTTGCCTACACGCGCCGATTCGTCCAAGGACGAGAAGAGCACCCCTTGCGACATTGCTATTGTCCTCGATCCGGTTATTGCTACCGGTGGTACCGCCGAGGCGGCGATCCAAACCTTGAGGGAATGGGGCGTCCCTAAGGTTCCTTGCTCCCAATTAGCATGTCCTGCCTACCCTACACATGACTAATTTCGCTGCGCTCTAGATCCTTGTTGTTAGCATTCTCGGCAGCGTGGAGGGTGTTACCCGCGCCGCCACCGAAAACAACGGCGAAGGTCTCAATGTGGTTGTTGGAGCTATTGATGCGGGGCTTGGGGGGGATAACGGGGGAATGATTGTTCCTGGGTACGGGCATTTCCCCGGTCCTCCTTTATATTATACCAGCTTGGCTTACCATTCTTAGCGTTGGTGACATTGGCGACCGCTTATTCCTTACCATTGGAAAATAATTGATACCCTAATTTAGCAGTTTTAGTTTGTCTTGCTCTTGTCGAAATTAGGGTCTGAGACGTGAAGGTGAAATTTTTTCTTGAATTTTTCCTCTTGTTTAATGTGAAGATGTGACTATGGCGAGGAGAGAGGGAATCTTGGAGTACAGTACTGTACCGGTATGATGCGATCATACTCCGGTAGCAGAAGGCGACATTTTTAATAGAAATCATTTATGAAAACTTCAGGGTTACACGAGTGATTGTTTATGATATTTTTGTTGTGGTTTCTTGATTGGGGGGGGAGGGGGTTGGAGTGTGCGGGGTATCCTGGTCAAGGGTTATTCCGGGTAGGCAAGGGGGGTTGCGGGAGAAGTCCGATGCATCTGGAAAAACTCGGATGTGGCGGTGCCTTTGCCGTGCGCCCCTTGTCGCCCAAGCTGCCGGTAACTTACCCGGGACATCCCACCGGGGTCTTAGGAATGATATCTCTACTTTAAGTACCTGAAATGCTCACAGCTTCATATCTCGGGCCGGTGAGATATCAATGGGAATGATTTTTAGTATCAGAATTTGCCTGATAATATCCTTAGGGTTCCTTTAAGGCCCCATTGTTGTGGGTGTAGTGGCGATTAAAAGCTCCATATCACCGTTTTCCTGATTTCTGTGCGGCACTTTCCGGGAATCAAGCCACCGACATGCTCCCTAGCTAGTCGGGAAGGAGATCCTGCCTGGGCCGGGATACGGTACTGGCTCAGCGAGACATGATATTAAGTTACACTGGAGGGGGACTCGCACAAGTTAACTCCGTTCGTACCTCGCATTCTCAACTTTTAGGAGGTGGTACTGAATCACCATGGCCTCTCTTTTCACTCTAGGGAGGGCGCATGGATGTGAAGATACTATCGTAGTGAACCTTGGGATGCAGTAACTTTACTGCGAGTGGTTATGGATTCGCTAGGGGGAAAGGTTTACCTACGCTCGGTGGTCAGATATCAGTTCCACGGCCTTGAATACCGCATAGCCGGCGGTACTCGTCTTGCTGTTAAGTTATATTTACGCTTAGTGGTTCGGAGGCCCGCGGCGGGGATATATCACTCGGGTAATGGAATAACGGTATCCCGAGTCTGGCAGAATGGCCGGCCTTCCTAACACTAGGGAGACGCGCTACGCGTGTAATATCCCTGGGAGTGTTGTGGAATGGTCTGGAACGTGGTATTACATTGGTTTGCACTCGGGTGCTTTCTTCCGATGGAGATCGTGTAATACATACTATGTCTTACATATTCATCATACGTGCTGTCTTATGGGTACAGTATAGTGCGGGGTACTGAGCATGCTGCCGAATAGAACACAATGGGGCTCGGCGCATGAGTTCTCGTAGGGCGTTGTGACGCTGGGATTTTAGAGTACTGCCGTGTGCTCCTAAATAGGTACTGGACCGATTTCGTGACCTTTGTCTCGGAAGTTTTTTGGCGAAAAAAAAGTTGTTCGGGATGCGGGGGCCGAGCGTTGCTAATATGGTATCATATCATGGAAATTTAGGATTACCTCTCCGTTTTTCTCCTTCTGCCTGCTTTTCCCGGTTAGGGAAGATTCGGTATTCTGGGGCTCAGATGGGTGGAATGATAGGAATCCTGAGCGCCCATAAAAGATGGGATTACCGCACTCTACTCGAGTAGTATATCATTCCAGTTCTGCAATTAGCGGCTGGCATCTCGGGCCTTTAAAAACATGGGTATCATCATCGGGCGGACTAAATGGCTTGGCTAGCGGGGCGGAACACAGCTCGAGGAATTCTGAATTACGGAGCTACACCCTCTGCGGTTTGGGGTCTTAAGTCGCTTTAGATGGGTTGGTTCCGGGCTTTGTGCCTCCGGTATGATATTTCGTGGTGAGGAAGCAGATGTGTGAGCCGGGGTCTAGTAGAGCCCGGGGTATTGTTATGGAATTCTCTTGTTTTCCTAGAGCTCTTAATATTCACTAACATGGACAGAAACCGTAAATAGAAACCAACCCTCTGCACATCGGGGGTTCACCGATAAATCCGAACAAAGAAAGTCCTCCTACACTCCTGCAAGCTCCACTTTCCTCTCACCATGCACAAGATATTGCGCTGATTTTAGAGCTCGCAGCCCCCCCAAGGTTAAGCTCTTCTAAATATGATGAACTTTTGAGACCCTCTTTTGATGCAGCTATCACCTTTGCACCGGTAGTATCCTCCATTGAAGCTAATGTAATTGTTGGCCCCCATCCCCGCATCAAAGAATTCCGCAATTGTCTTCACGCAAACCTCGACACCGGCAAGGATGTTAAACTGGTAATTGATCGTGACGGGGATGGGGTCCTTCACAAATTCCCTCGTGTCGTCTATGTCGTAGACCAGGCGTCCTTTAGTGCCATAACTTGTGAACATACACTGGAGGTGCGCCATAACCGAGATATCCTTTGCAGCAACAGCAATCACTGCCCTCTCACTCCTTCCCCTTTCCTCCTCTCTCCTCCTCTCGGCTTCTTCTAGTTTTTTCATCTCTGCTGCATGCAAATCTGCTAACAATTTCTTTTCAGCTGCGGCCTTTTCCAGTTTCTCCCGAGCCTTTGCTTGCTCTTGCGCCAGGATCTCCTTCATTTCATCGTCTTTCTCCTTTACCGCTTTCTGACGTTCTCTCTCTAGGTGCTCCAAATTTTCCTTGTACTTCTTCTGCAGGGCGATCAATTCCTCGTTCATGAATTTCCCTGCATTGGTCTCAACCAGGGTCATATTTTTCTGGACCATCTGATCCTGGATATCGAGGGCTTTTGGCTCGTTTGCCATGAGCTTGTAGATAAGCTCCAATCCGGATTCCCTGGAGCCCATGAATCTCTCAAGAGAGGCGCCCTTTGAGATAAGTCCTCCCCAGAAGTCCCCATGTCGGAGGTTGTCTTCGCGGAACTCCCCGAGCGCTTGATCGACGTTGGACCACTGCGTGGTTGTGAGGAGTACGTTCTGCAGGGCTCCAGGACCACACAACCTCTGGAACATCCGGAGATTCTTCAGGGAAGAGCCATCCATGCGGACATCGGTGATGCGGTGGAAGTATATGATGCCGGAGAGGAGCCTACCCTTCCTATAGTTTAATGAGGTCCAAGCGCAGATGTCTGCTAGGACCTCGGTATCGCTTTTAGTGGTGTCATTGAAGCCCGGAGTGTCGATCAGTGTTATTTTTGCCCCTGCATACGGAAAAGAGTGGGGCTGGACCTTGGCAGTACCTTATATCTGTCAGCACATGGGTTCAGATTCTTCAGCAAGGGGCTATCTCACAGGAATGAAGATCGTCGCTCACTTCGACATCTGAAATGCCCGAGACTTCCCTGATGAAGTAGCTTTTACCTGTGCCTGACACTTGACTTAGCTGATGTACTGGCGATTTTGAATATTCATTCGGTGTTACCTGTGACTCCCATAACTGCTATGATGATTTCTCTTTCTGGGCTGTCCGCCGGTGGCGATATAGGGGGTGGTGGGGGTGGCCGTGGGGGCGGATGTGCCGAGTAAGTAGTGTGGGACATGGGAGGTGTGGCTGGCATTCCCTTGTGAGGTGACGGCATATCCTTATCGGGTTCCCCATGATCCATATTACCGGTGGGGTGAAAGGGTGGTCGAGCTAGATGATTGGTTGGGGTGTGGGTGGGTGTAAAATGGCGGGGGTCCGTGCTGTGATAATTTGACGCCGGGTATTGGGGAACAGGTGGATTTCTGGACTCCGTATTGGGTGGGGGAACATTGAAGTGGGGTCCTTTGCTGGGCGTGCCGAGGGTGCTAGTGGGAGGGTATGGTGGAGCCGAGTGATACGCTTGGCACTGCGCTGACGGGTGGTAGTAAGGCTCCATATATGGATAACCATGTGGCGGTGGATAACCGGGGATTGGTGGAAAATAAGACATATTTGGGTAGCCGTATGTTCCCGAGTTTTTGTGGGTTGGGGGGTAACCGTGCGCGGGCCAAAAGCCTTGAATTGGTGGATTGCTAGGCATTTGTTGATTTCTCTGCATTTGCGGGTCGTCGGACATCCGTGGGTGACCTGGGGGTGGCGTGCCCGAGTGGGGCGGCGATTCTTCTAGATCGTCATCTGATTCAGAACAGTGAGAGAAGGGTGGGTCGAAGCTGTGTGTTGACTGGGGATCCATTTCAAGACTATCTGACCGCTTGGGGGTTTAGTCCGTTTTTGAGGGTTAAAATATTCTTTTCTGCGCAATACAAGGAATGGGTTCTGAGCTCTACAGATTGGGGAGTAATCCTGGGAGGAAGGGGGAGGATTTTATACTGGCTTAGGTGGTTAGGGATTTTGGCCATGATATTGACCGCGCGATGGGTTGTCGGTCCAGTATGATAAGCGGAATAGGTTTGTTCGCTGAAGGCACGATTCCCGTGGTCCCCCTTGCTAGAGCCTAAGGTTTTACTGGGTAGGGCTTCACTCTAGATCTGCTCTCCGATTAATTAGGAGAGGGGCCATAGGGAAGTGAAAAGCTAGGTGAATGTGTGTAGGATCGGAAGTGAAGTTCCAGCTAAATTCAAAAGAACCAGACACGATATCTGCACGCTCTCCTGCATCTGCCGGAGGTAGCTGTTTTCTTATCTTCATCTAGTTGGTCTGGCGTTCCCCTTATTTTGACGCACGAGTTTGTTGGTGGTGTACAGCTTGTCCCTACTTGTGCATTTTGTGCGCCTCGTTCTGCGGGTCTACCCTCTATGATTGAGTAGGTTTCTTGTGTGAAGAGGGGTTGCTAAGTTGTGCGAAAGTTTTTATAAAATTGTGCACACTTGTGTTGTAGGGTAGGTGAAATTAGTTGCCATACTGGTGAACATCTTTTCCCATGTGCCCAAGGAATTTCCATACATAGTACGGTACCGTTCCAAGGCCGGATTTCCTCCTCTCTCTGGCACAGCAGCGCAGTACCATACATGTGTTGCCTGACCAATCGTAGGTGAAACCTCCGATCCGTGAACACAAAAACGAAGTTGCAGGTTTCAGTGTTCTGGTTTCTCGGCTGCCCCGGTTTTCGCTTTCTTTTGTCAAAACTAACTTGCCGTGTGTGGTGGGAATGCGAGGGAATTTGGTTCGCACGGATGGGTTGCTTTCGCGGTCCATCCATTTCCCCCCGTAATCATTGTTGCAGTCCATTTAAGGTGCGGCTTTGCTGGCTGATCCAACGCACTCTCATTGGATCGGCTGCGTCAGCCTTGCGCTAGCGCAAAATCTATC